TGCCGGCGTTAGCTGAGGGCGCAGACTCCCCCGCTCAGACCCGAGGACCGCCGCCGCCGCGTGTGGCCGGGAGCGATAGTCGGGTCTCACTAACCTTTAGCGGGTTTGTAAGCGACCCAGTAACTTCACCGAGAAGACGGTGGCGGAGCGGCCCGGGTTGAGGTCTGGGAGGAACCCGGAGGGAGGACAGCGTCTGTGGGCCCGGATGTGATTCTCAGGGTCTCGTAGCAGGACGCGGGTCTGGGGGGCGGGGCCGCCCCCACCTGTCCGCACCCCGATGCGCTCTCCGGTTGCAACAGGAGCCCGGGCTGCTTTCAACACCCGTTTCAGTGGCCGCCTCGTGTGCGCTCGGGGCTTCATTTCCTGTGGTTATTGCACATCGGTAACGCTTCCGCCCTGGAATCGCTTTCCCGCTCCTAGGCATCAGCCTTACTGCTGGTTTTTATGCTGCATTTTAGTTTTTGTACTTACAAGGAATGTTGTTCTGTTTTTGTCCTGTTTTCAGTGTAAACATATATGGAAATCAGGAGAATTCATATGCACAGGAAACATTTGCTTTCTAATTTTTCTGAAGAGACTAGCTTAAGTTGTTGGGGATATTATTATTGTTTAAAGGTGTGATGTAACCTGAGTGCTGCGAGGAGCTGAATGTATGACGTCACGGAGACTGTTGACTAATCCCAAATTAAATGTAATCACTCGTGTGTGTTTTTAATTAAGGAGAATATATCATAATTTTCATTTGTATTATGTCAAACCAACAAGTATAAAATGTGCAAACTTTATTCCCCCAGTGTGGCCTAGGTTTGCTTTCTTTGCTTCTGTATTCACGTTAAAACAACAAAACCGCTGTGAGTGTAAAAAGCAGAGCCCGTGCTGCTGCGGTGACGCGCTCTTGTCTTGCAGGCATGTGGGCTCACTCCATGACGGTGCGGGACTACCAGGACCTCATCGACCGCGGCTGGCGGAGGTGAGCGCAGCCAGGAGGCTGCTCCCTTACTCAGGTTCTCAGTGGAAAAAACACACCGTTTTCTTTAAGAAGTTTTTCTGTTGGGAAGAGGTTTAAGGCTTTTTTTATCCCTTTATGTAATGATTTTGTTCTCTTTTTAATGATGTTTATTAGGAAAACTTCAAATATATACATAGAAGGTACAGTATGATGAAGCTCATGTATCTATCACCAAGCTTCAACAATTGTTAACATTTTGGCAGTCTTGTTTCATCAATTCTTTTTTTTTTTTTAAAGTATGGTGTTTTTAAAATTTTTTTTTTTAATTTTATTGATTTGAGAGAAACATCAGTGGGATAGAGAACATCAATCAGTTGCCTCCCTCCCCCCCCACCCCTACCCTCCCCCAACAGGGGATGGAACCAGCAACCTTTTGGTGCCTGGGACGATGCTCAACCAACTGAGCCACACTGGCCAGGGCTCATCAGTTCCTTTTGGTCCCTGCAATGGACTGAATGTCTGTGTCCGACCACACTGTACAGCTTCAGTCCTAACCCCGTTGTCATGGTGTTGGGAGGTGGTCGGCCTAGATGGAGCCCTCGCCAGTGGGATTGGTGCCCTGTGAGAGCGAGCTCCCTGCCCTTCTCCCACGCGAGGCTCCCGGAGAGCAGGAGCCAGGAAGCTTGTCTTCACGAGACACGGATCTGCCGGGCCTGTCGTGGACGTCCAGCCCCCAGAACGGGGAGGAATACATTTCCGTTGTTTAGAAGCCACTCGGCCTGTAGCACTTCGTGGTAGCAGCCCAAGTGGACTTCTCCCCCCACAAAATAATTTAAAGCAGATTTCAGGTGTCAGCGTACCTGTAGCAAGTGTGGTTTCTAAGAGAGAAGGGTTCTTTTTCCTTTGCGAGATATCCACAATACCATTTGCTATACCTTACAAAATTAGTAATTCTTTACCTGTTACCTAGTTTTGCTTAGATTTTCTGCTCATCTCAGATGTGTGTTTTTTTAACAGTTGGTTTATTTGAATCAGGATTCCATTAAGGCCCACATATTGCATTGCCTTCGATGGCTAAGATTGCTTTGGAAGTTATTTTTTATGTGGATTCTTTTAAAGTAACTATTAGGTAAAGTTCCTTACGTAAATAGTATGAGCAGTTAAGTGCCCTGTGCCAATCAAGAGACCTGGGATTAAGCACAGCAGATGAAACTTCACAACTTCCCTTAAACTTATAACAACGGAGTTCAAAAGTAGACACAGGCCAGGTGCCAAAGGACCTTGTGTGCCATGATCAGGAACCTTTTTAAAGGCAGAAGGGAACCTGCCAGCTGTGTGTCCCACGGGAATGGGAAGTAGCAGAGACGTGTCTGAGGGGTGACCCAAGAGGCAGAAGACTGGCTCCAGGACGATGCAGTGCTGGGGGGTGAGGCATCAGCAGTGGCCAGAGGCAGGAGGGACAGGTTGAAGGTTTATTTTTTATTGATTTATTTTTTAAATATATTTTTATTGATTTTAGAGAGAATCATTGATTGGCTGCCTACTGCACGCCCCCTACTAGGGGTGTGCCTGCAACCAAGGTACATGCCCTTGACTGGAATTGAACCCAGGACCCTTCAGTCCGCAGGCCAATGCTCTATCCACTGAGCCAAACTGGCTAGGGCTGGAGGTTCATTTTAGAAGTAGAAAGATTGCTGACAGGAAATAGCGCTCATTAGAGGGAGGAGTCTAAGATGACCCCTCAGTTCCTGGCTCTGAACTGAATGTTTGTTTGGGCTGCCATACAATATGCCACAGACGGCAGACGGGCAGCGTAACAGAAATGTGTTTTCTCGCAGAGGTGGAGGCTGCAAGTTCAAAACCAAGGTGTCCAGAGCTTTGGTGTCTACTGTGGCCTCTCTCTGTGGCTTGCACATGGCTGCCTTCTCCCTGTGCACACACGGTCCTTCTCTGGGTGGGCATCCCTGGGGCCTCATCTCTGTTTCCATTTTCTTTTCTCATAAGGACGCGTATCAGATTGGATTATGGCTCGTCTTAGCAGCTTCTTTTTAACCCAGTCCCTCTTTAAAGGCCTGATCTGCAAACGTAGTCTGGGGTGCTGGGGGTTAGGGCGTCGACGTTTGAATTTCAGCCACAATGTCGTGGCTCTGCCATTCACTGAGCTCTAGAAAGCATGGAAGGAACAGGTGGGTGTGGGTACTTGGTGCTGTTGCACATGGAACCCCCAAGTGTGGCTGTCCTAGGCAGCAGCGGGCCTGGGTCCCGCCGTCTCCAGCGCAGAGGATCTGGGTGGTAGCTCAGGCCTGGGAGGGGTGGCAGGTGCCGATGAGGAGGTGAC